CCCGAATTCGATCCCCGGTACCAAAAAAAAAAAAAAAAGTCTTTCTAAATATTCCTATAAAATTGATTTCATTGGGAGGTACATTTTTCTCATATTCTTTACTGTTACATTACCTTTTATTAGATGTTATTGAAAAAATATGTACCTCTATGCACAGAGGATATGTGTAAATCGATGCTTGAATCAATCTAAAGTTTCCTAAAATAAATTTCACTCAGAACAGGAGAAATAACACATACAACAATTACAACACTTTAAATATCTATTGTAAGCCTCAAATATTTTGCTTTCTTATTTACTAATAGCCATTAATGACAACAATTAATGAAAGTGTACCTTTAAATCCATAAGACTGAGTTTCCACAAGTATGTTTGAATTTAATTAACACAATTACTAATAGTAAAGATATTTTCACACACTGGTTCTCATAATCAAAGGATGTGGTTCTAACTTGCCTGCCTTTCTTTCCCAAACCCTCATCCTACAGAGAGGGGCTATGTAATTTTTCTCTTAATATTAAAAAAAATCAAACATGTATGTATTTGGTAGGAATTCAATTCATGCTTAGGAACCATTTTAAGAGTTTTGTTGATGCTAAAGAAATGGTGAAAAGCATTTCAGAACTCAGCATTAAATGTCCTTGATAACATACCTTATATGCCTTGCCATTTACTAAAGCAGATAGAATAGATCGAGGAATTTTGCCAGATCTGGTTTTGGGCAACTGTTTAACAAACACTGCATTTCGAAAAGCAGCCACAGGGCCAATGCTCTGTCTAACATGTTTCACAATTTCTTCTAAAACTTGTTTCTCTGTTGCATTTATACCTAGGGAAGAAGTTGAAAGGGTTTGCAATGAATTAACCTGACTTAATCATTCAGGCCCAATGAGGAAGGACAAAGATGTCTCACCCTTCTTCAACACACAGATTGCTAAGGGAACATGACCTTTCAAAGGATCTTCCTTGCCAACCACAGCGCAGTCTTCAACAGTACCATGGGAAAGGACAGACTGGAATAAGAAAAGGCATTCATTTAGAATATGTATGCATACATATGTGTATATAATTGTAATGCAGAACAAAGTAAATGTGAGAGAACCCAACAATACATTGCTACCTGCCTAAAAATTTATTACTAATTCACATAATTACTACTGAGGAGAAAGATTAGGATACCCATGGAAGTCTCAAAGGCTGACAGTAATTAAGATAAATTACTTGGATTACCTGGAAAGTATGGAAATTATTTCTTCATCTTAAGAGCTTATTAATTAGTCAGAGAACATGTGTAATAATTATCACATGCAGTTGCTACCAGGCAGCCTATCGTGTTTTGACAGTAGTGCTGGCTGCTTTCAGAGGAATTCCAGACTGTCCCCAGGGCCACACAATGAATTTAATGAACAGGCCACCCATACAGAGAGAATTTGACAGGACTTGAAAGAAGAGGCTACAGATGGACAGAAGTCCCAATACCACATAATTACTTCTTTCATACTGCTCACGTTCAACTCTCAAGGCCCTACAGAGCAAAGCATCTATCTAGAATCATAAGAACTCACAGATTTGAAAATTCATATAAAATATAAGAGGCATAGGGTTTAAAAAATTCTTCTGTGATGGAACTTTTAAAAATGCATGTTCAAAAAGGCCTCTTCTGGGATATTAATATATATTTCAGTGATTCCAAATGCCTAATTCTAGCAAGCACAGCAATTGATTCCAACAGTTCATTTAGCAGCCATTATTCTTTCTTCTATTCATTCATGCAACAAATATTTACTAAATGCCTCCATTGGAGCAATCCTATATCTAGCTCAGTTGCTAGCAAAAATAGCCAGGGTGTCACTGTATAATGTTTATAGTCTAGTAATGAAGAAAGATATAGTACTAATAAATAACCTTGATATTTTAATTTTTATAAAGGTCCAACTGTGACAGTAGTAAGAGCTCTGAGGAAATAACTAAAGCTCATTATATGCAAGCTATAGTAAAGCATATAATTTCCCAAAAAGATATAGACATCAAGGAAGTCTTCCCTTAGCAAATGGAGCAATCTAGAGAATAAAGAGATATTGATTAGGCATGAGGAGGAGGGTGGGGCAAAAGCTCAGTGAGAAACTGTATGTCAACTGTTCAGATCTGATCTGAAAGAGACCAGGGTGTCTGGAAGTTGGGGAGGAGGATGATAAAGTTTCAGAGGTATAGAAGGCTTGCCAATTTTTGTTTTTCCAACATTATAAGACTAACACAACATTTCAGGAGTAGATGAAGAGATGAAAACTCAGAATAAATTCATAAATAGACTTCATTTTTAGTGTAGTTCTAAGTTACAGCACATTGGGCAAGAAGCATCCCTCATACCACACAAGCTGCTTCACTAATCTGCACTAGAGTGCTACATTTCTTATCATCAATGAGCCAACACCGGCATGTCATTTTCAACCCAGTCCTTAGATCATATTGTGGTTCACTTTTGTTGTAAATTCTATGGTGTCTCACAAATATGTAAGACATGTATTATACATAATCATTTTATTATTGTAAAAGTTCCCTATGTTCTGCCATTCGTCCCTCCCTTTCCCCCAGCCTCTGGCAAAACTAACCCTTTTACTGTCTCCAAGGTCCCTTTGCATAATGTCATATATTTAGAGTCATATAGTATTCAGACTTTTCAGATAAGTTTCTTTTTTCACATTAGGGTGGATTTTGAAAAACCCAATCTTAGATTTCACTGTTGAGAACATATAGAGGATTTCTGTGGGTGGGCATCACAGTTTATACCAGCAAACCACCTAAAAGGCTACTATAATGGACTAAGGTTATGGGAGTGATTATAATGACTTCAGTTTCTTTAGGAGTAAAATGGGCACAGTATGGCGGTAAATTGAATATGGAGCATGGATAAGACAGAGGGATTCTACTGGTTGGATGGTGGCAACTTTCTAACCAGAAAAGATTAGTAAGGACTAAGTATAGAAGACCATGTATTATTGTCTTGGAGATATTTCATTTAAGAGGTGTATATAAGACGTCCAGGGGGAAGCTGTTAGGTACAGGGATCTGAGAAGAGGCTTAATCTGTAAATCACATGCACATGACTTTCTTATATAAAGGGTAATGGTAGCTATAGGCCTAGATAAGATTTTTTAAAGAGAAAGAAGAAAATACCAAGAGTCTTAAGGAATTGGAATATGTAATGGTCATATGAAAAAGAAGCAGTGAACAAAGTAAAATAAAAGACAGCCAAACAAACAAAGCCTAGAAAAAGCAGAATCTGAGACAATACTAAATTCCCAATCTTTTCAAGATATTTTTCATTAAAGCCAAATTAAAAATGAGGCTTCTCTCCTTGAACTTCTGGAAGACTTAATGAATTCCTGTACTAGGACATTTGTTAACAACAACAAAACAGTTACTAGCTTACAATATCGCTATGTAAACATACTATATACTTCTATATTACTTCTATACCCTATAGGAAGCATTGGATTATAAAGGTTTCCTTGCACATAGTTTTTGACTTCTATAATGATAAGACAGTATACGTTATATAAATTATTTCTGTAGTATATTTTAGCTTATATTTTAACTTGCTGTTATAAAGCTGTTAGTTCTTTCTTTCCAACTCTCTAAAAAGTTTCTACTGAATACATTATACAGACTATCCCACACCACCTTCTCTATTATGGCAGAGCTCCCAATGACTTATTTGTTACAATTTTATTTAAACTTAATATCTATATTCTAAGAATAGAGAGACAAATATCACTGCCAGATATTTTTTTGGTCATTAACTACAGTCAGTTATCAGTCATGAAAAAGAATACTTGGTCCATAGCAAAGCAGATACACTTGATAAGCAGGACCCTGTAATTCTGACCTACCATACCCTTAATGCCTTAATGAGAAGGTATGACTATTTTAACTGGTGAACTAGAGTTTTAATTACCAAAAAAAATTATTAAAATGTCTTTTGGTGCCAGAAACCTCTGTATTTGAGTTTTTAAAGTGTCAAAGTATCTGTTCAAATCACTGAAAAACAAATCAATCAGTATGACTATAATTTTAACTACGATGAATGTTAAATCTTCTGGTTTATCACTCTCTCATCTTGTTATTTTCATTTCTCAATGTTACAATCTTTAGTGTTAGTGCTTTTGGAAGTGGATGGAAATATATATATATATATATATATATATATATATATATCAGAATACATTGCACAGTTACCTATAGTATCAAAGCTTCATATTTTGCTTATGAAAAAATATAATTTTTCATAAATCTGTATCATCTCTAAGGTTCATTAGTATTGTGGATAGAATATCATATTAATCTATCAGTTAATAAGATGCCATAAAGGAAGAGAAACAGCTTCCTATGTTGGCCCCACCAATAACATTTGCATGGCGAATGAATTTTAACAACTGAACCACTGAAAAGGAAAGCATCAAAAGGTGCCTTGGCAATATGTGAGGGACAGAAGCCCAGCAAATGTCCTGTGGGAAGAACAGTCAAAAACCACACTCATACATTTCCGCCACATAAAATCTATGAAGCGTCCACAATGAGCTGGCATTTGAGTACCTGAGAAAGGGATAGACCTTAAAAGGTAATTGTCACACCAGAAATGAGTGTATCCATGTATTGTAAGAGGCCTGGTTAATGCATGTCATTTGTTATTTCTGAGCTATGGCCATTTTTGTGTACGTTTTAATGGATTTAAAGGGTTTCAAAGTTTCAATGGGTTAGACAACACAGGTTTTTCAATTGTATTTTTAAGAATTTTAATTTTAGAAACATTCTTTTAAATTAAGCACCTTCACAAAATACAAGGAATCACTCTGACATTGACATAGTCTAAGAAACTGTCAGAGTGATTCCTTGCCTTCATCAATATTCATATCGGTACTCAAGAAATATTCAGCAAGTTGCCAACTATTTAAATCCAGTAGTCATTTATGACTGAGTAGAACTGAAATTGCAAAGTGTCTTTGATGGATACACAGTCACTTTATAGATATATATTTGTTCTTGAAGAAACCATTCCTAAAATAAGGAGCAAAACAGCTAATGTGAAAAACAAACAGTGTAGTCTTGTTCAGACCACATTTCTGAAGGGCAAATTATATGTGAACATTGCCCCAGGCTCTACATGCAGTATTTTAACACCAGATTCCCCAGTTCCCAAGGATATTAGTGGGATTATTTAACAAACTGAAAGTTAAACTGTAAGTGAGAGAATGAAATCCCGAAGCCCAACTCCTTCCATAGATACCTTGGCAATGAAATATCCTGTCTGCAGCAGAGACAGAGAACTGAGCAAGAGGGATCACACTGGTTCCTGCTAATGTTGGCTGATAAGGCTCCAGCAAGCAGATTTCAGACCCAGTTTTCTTAAGAACTCCTTGAACTTCCACCCAAGTTTCCCAAGTGTCTAGCTGGTTGCTAGGCTTTCAAAGATTAATCAACTGTTAAAATAGACCTTATTACTCCAGAGTTACAGAAGGCTCTCATTTGTACTGGGATCCACAAGAATAATGTCCTTGTAATTTATAAAAGCTGTTATAGGGCTTCCTTTTTTTAAAGGATAAGAACAGAAAAGAACATGTATCTTTGATGTAATAATTTTAACCATATATGTCCTTGATTTAGTATTTTTTATTTAGTGCTATATAAGATAATGCACTCATAAATTCTTTACTTGGGGAAATTACAAAAGCATAGTGATTTTTCACCAAATACAAAAATCAGTTAAGTTAATTTTTCTGTACAACTGAAATTTCAAGGGATTAAAATCCTTGACTGATATTTCAAAAAGTTAAAGAGGAATACACAGTGTACCAAGATCATTGGAAATTAAATGTGAAAGTTTGAACACATAAATAAAAGCTGGTTCTATCATCAGTGTAAACATTTCAGGAGGATATTGAATATCAGTTTGCCCAGCAATTTTGTGAGGAGCTCGGAACAAGAATGTCAACCCTAGGGCCAAGGATTTAGCTCA